TATATATTATTAATTAATGATAAATTAGTGTATCACATGTTAGAAAAACCAAAAGTCCATACATACCAAATTACCAAATCAAAAGATCTTTGTTTTGCTAAATATTTAAATGAAAGTCGCATGAAATGAAGGGGCAGGAAGTCGATGGTGTGGGTTTACTTTTGGGGGGCTTCCAAAGGCACATATCTCCGACCATTGGTAAGCAAAAACAAAGAAAAAGACATATCAGAGAGGTCATTAAATAATTATATTGAGTAAGGATATATTTATCTATACATAAGTTTTACATATCATATTTATAAAAAAATTTTAATTCATTTTCAATATTTGAGGTTTATTTATTTTTTTATCATATTTATTAATAATAAGAATATGGATCTATTTACATAAAAATTTTATATATTATTTTTATACAAAATCTTAATTATTGATCTTTTCATTTTCAAAAGTTAAAATTTAATATAACTTTTCAAATAAAAAAATAATTATCTAAAATAAATGTGAATAAATTTCTATGATTTAAAGTGTAGAGATGAATAGTTAAAATTTTGTATAATTATAATATGTAAAATTTATATGTAAATGAATTTTTATAACCACAACTAAATCATTTTAGTTGGACCACTTTATGTATCACAAAATAACATTTCATAGAGCAATGATACAGTTTCTTATAATGTCTCATTCAATATCCAGGACATCAGTTTCAACCACTTAATTAGCATCTTTATTACCCTTACATACATGACAATCAAATGTTAAAAGAAAAGAAAAACCAAACAAAATTATCTTAATGAAAATGGTTCTTTGACATATATTGAAAAAGTGCATGTTAGTCTAGAGTGTAAAGTAAACTCAAAATAATGTTGTTAACTTGAAAATTATGAAATACAGTAAATCCTAACATCAATAAATGATTATTTATAGAAACCCACATTTTGGACGCACTAACAACTACCTAATATTGATAGTAAGGTTAGAGATGGGGTGAGAGAGATCTCAAATTGATAGAGGATATTGACACTTAAAGGTGACTATAGCTTGCAAATTACCAATAATTATTGTTATGATAATCCTTTTAAGGGACCATTGAAACCAAAGACTAAAAACTAGAGATAAAATTGACAATGTATTTGGGGTTGTGAAGACTTTGGTCGGTTGGTCCATTCAAATGTAAAGTAAGAAAGAAAATAACAATTGACGAAAAAGAAAAAGAAAATTGAAGGGGTTAGGGCAGGGGTAGTTTTCTGTTGATGAAGACCAAAAGGGAAAGCGATGCAAGAATAGTGAAGGACAGGTCCCATTTGCCCTTTGTTGGGGCAAAAGGGCATGTGTAAGTGCATGCAAGTAGGAGATGGAGAGAGATATGTTCTGTATCATAAAGTAGAGGGAGACGAAGGAGGGCCCGTTTGGTCATGATAATGGAAGGAAGTAGCCTTCATCCTCTCTGGACTTGTTCCCACTATGCCCAATGCCTATCTACTAGCTAGTATTAACGTGCCTTTAATTTTAATAGTTTGGTTGGTGTGAAAGGAATACTTTATTTAGTTTAAAAAAAAAAAAGGAAAGTAAAAAAAGGTATTATAATTAATCAAATTATTTAATTTATTGATTAAATTATTTGATTTCTTTAATTAAAATAACACCACATTCTCTCCCTACTCTTTTGTTTCTCTTAAATTAAACAAAAATAAAATCAACATTTTAATGTCACAATTTTAATATATAAAATTTATATATATATAGATATTTATAAATATTAAGGATTGAAGATTGAAAGTACACGTAACTAACTCTACTATTATATTACGTATGACTGATAATAACTCTCGATAATCTATGGTAATCCAAGTTTTACTTACATATGTAAAAATTAAGGAAAAAGGAAAAATAAGGGAGGAAGATATATTGGTCTTGAAGAAATGGAAGGATTGGTGCATGAACATGAAACTTTGCTTTCCTTGTCTTGTTTCGGTGACAACGATTGCAAAGACTAGAAAATTCAAACCATCAAATTATTTATTTGGTGAAACACGTGATGAACATTTGTTAAAAAACGCAATTACTTTGACCCGCATTAATATATTTTTATTTTCATATAATGGAGGTAATTTTTTTATTTATTTATCTTATCTTACTCTTATATATATATATTATAGTTTAAATTTAAATTTTTTTATTTTTAATAAAAATAAATATTTACTAAATTATTTAAGTTGTTTTCTTAATATGCATTAATATTTATTACATGTTAAGACTAATTTTTTGAGAAATTTACCCATTGCATAAGGGTCGATGAAATACGAAATAGTTCTAAATATTTTGATTTTTCTTCTTTTTTAAAAGTTAATTTCAACTTTTAGTATGTTGCTCTACACGGATATGAATTAATTAAGAGAAATTTGTTGGCTTTGAAAAGTACCACATACTTATTTATATAATTGGGACTGAAAATTTTACATAATTATTATTTTTTATTTATGTTTGTATTTGAATTAGCTTTTGTGTATGATGAGATTAATTTATCTTTAGACAATTTTAAGAATGTATTTCTTTACATTGATTTAATACATTTAAAAAAAATTAACTTTTTAAATGTAAGTTTTAAGACATAAGCCTTAAACTTAATTTATAAATTGATACTGATTTATTTATAACTTTAACTCTTAAAATTATTTTACATATATAATTACAACATGTTATAACGCAACAACTTAAAAGATAGTTCTA